TCTTGTTATCCTATAAATAAAAGTTAAGTTTTCAACAGAGGGTGAGTTTATGCTTAACTCAATCTCAAAAACCAATTTGGTAAGGTAATGTTTGCATCTCACTTATATATATTATAATTTGACTTTATCCCTAGTTGATGTGAAATCTCTAAGACACCTCTTCATGACAAGAACTGGTCATCTTTAATGTGGGAATAGATATTTATGTATGGTTCCATAGGTGTCCAATAGCCAATGGTGTGATAGTCCCATCAGGTCTTGCTAGGACAGTTCTTTTGGATTTTATATGCTCTAATAGAATTTTAGAAAGTGTGGATTTTGCCTAACTTAGCCTCACAAAGTTGGTATGGTAAAGTGAAGAACGTCACTTATATATTATAATTTATAGTGGATGTGAGATCTTTAATACTTTAAACCCAAACTACTCATGTGTGACGTGGATTTTAGATCTTCTCCCTCTAATCCTTATTATAAGGGGTATTGATGGTCTTTTTTACAAGGCATTTTATAGTTTTTATATATAATATTAAATTTCTTTTTCTTGTTTCCTCCTATAAAATATTATGAGTAGGTGTGTTTTTTTTATAGTAAATATTGACAAAGGAATTTTAAAAGCTATTAACGATGGGGTAAATTCGATACGTTCATATTTAAATAATCAACAAAGTGAGGTAAATTGATTACTTTTATTTGTCTTTGTGATTCTTTTAAAAGGTGTTTTATATTAAGGACGTGAGGGAGTACAACCATTCTGGTGCTTTAACCTTACAACTTAGACCTTTGAGAGAGTTGGTTCATTGCACCATTCATATTTCCTTAAGATTTTCATTTGCCTTTCTGAAGGGCCATTTGACTCTGGCAGTTAATTTTATTAGGCTATTAGGATATATTCACATTCAATGTTCTTGTCATCGAGGTATTTTTGTTATGGAAAATTGATCTTGTAACTTGTTGGAGAAAAATTTTATTGCATTTATTTTTCAAATAATACATTGGTGTCGTCTATCAGATTTTATAATGAGCAATTATTAATACATGCCTCATGGCAGATACGTACTGAACTGTTTTTATAGATCTTGCTGTTACTAGTATGTACCAACATCCTGATTAAACATTCATTTTTTCCAGGGTCAAATGGGATCAGATAGTTCACAACAAACAATGGGAAATGGCCAAAGCTATGGAACCAATCGGCAAAGTGAACCAACCAATGCAGGATCCCAGGGAGCATATTCTCAATTTCGTTCTGGCTCTGTTCCTGTAGGTTTCTATGCGTTGCAGAGGGAGAACATATTTCCTGAGAGACCTGATCAACCAGAATGTCAATTCTACATGAAGACTGGAGATTGCAAGTTTGGTGCAGTCTGTCGTTTCCATCATCCACGTGAAAGGATGATTCCTGCTCCTGACTGTGTTTTGAGTCCTATAGGCCTTCCTTTACGTCCTGTGAGTTGAACTCCTGCTTTTGGATTCTACATGTCAAGTTTATATTTCATTGAGATAGATTATTTTTTTCACCTAAATATACACTTATGGTAGTTCTCCTAGATTGTGTTTAGTAAGGACTCGAATAAGAACTAGTTAAATTGGCGTGTAGCTTATTTCATTTACTACTTATTATTCTTTAGTATTTAAAATTTTCCATTATTTGAATTTAAATGATCTAATTCTAGCTCGTTTATAGATAGACAATTTGACATTACACATTTGTGGGACTATATGCAGGAATTTTAGGAGCCTGTGCTAGAAACATGGGTCCTTCGATTTAGGGCTTACATATATATATATATATGATGACTAAATCAATTTAGGAGCTAAAGTGAGAAAAGTTGTAATTTGTAAGCCAAAGTGTTGCATATTTAACCATTTAAGGAAGACAGATATACCTTTTGGTGTTCTGTCTTGATAATAAATTTTGTGGGTTTTCATAACATGTCTCTTCTTTAAAAGTTAGGCCACTAACTGGTTTCAAAAGTTATCGACATAGGAGAACATGATCTCATCAAGAGAAGTATAACTTGCTAGCAATCATAAAATGGTTTAAAATAAACACTTCTATCATGACGTGTGATAGATCCCCCCACCTGTGAAAATGTGTTCCGTTTTGAAGATATAACATGAGAAGCTGGGGATATGCTCCCTAACTAAGGGCAGGGACTTTGGGGACTGACTAATATCCTATGGGCCTAGATATCATGTTGGAGACAGGGAAAGGGAAGATGAAATGCAGGATTACATGGTATCAGTTTCTGTCAGGTTTCTATTGTTTGCTATTGACATTTTCATGAAATGAAAGAATCCAAAATCCAAATCACTCTATGTTGGAAATGGAGTATTTTTATCTTTAAATATTAATTAGTATGTCTCAGTTCTGTACGTCCTTCTATAAATGGTTTAAATCACAATAGATGAGAAGACCTATTGTTGAATCATGCAAGGGCATTTATAGATGTTTGTATCAACATAGATAGCAATTGTAAGTGCAACAATAATCTGAAGCCAACTTAATGATTTGCAATTGTACAAGTGAAGAAAAGAGATGATGAAAATTCTTGAACTTGGCTAGCCCTAACTCTAGTCCAAAAGTTATTGAAGGCTTAAACCTTTATAGGCCCTACTTTGGCCATATATTGGGAGAGCTGCATGGTCAGGTAGGTTGCAATGGGAAATTCACGAGGTTAGGTGGATTTTTGTTCAGTTGATGGTGATCCAATATGTAATCTTTGATAGATTATGATATCATCTTAATTTTAGGCTGGATATAACTCAACTTCAAAATTTAACTTTTGAGGTGAGGGTTGTATATGCTTTACCTTTGCCATATATATAGTCAATTTGGGATCTCAACGAAAATATTATCAATAGTATTTCAAGTGTGTAATTCCCCTTTCATGTCAAAATCAAATTGTGATATTTGATGTCATTGGTGTTGATTCCTGTGCTTAGCATCAATATGAATTATTTCATGTGTGTGATTCCCCTTTTATGTCTAAATCAAATTGTGATATTTGATGGCATTGGTGTTGCTTCCTGTGCTTAGCATATCATTCCCAAATGTGTCTGATGTTACTTCTTTCAACTGTGTGAAATGCATTAAAGTATTTTAACTAGATTTATGATTATTTGTTGATTGGAGAGAGAATATATGCAATTATTTATCACAGTATTGTCTTCACATGGATTTGATCTTTTTATCGAATTGGTGCATGCTAATAGAGGTTGTGTTCTATTTTCGTGCAGGGAGAGCCTCTTTGTGTCTTCTATTCACGGTATGGCATATGCAAATTTGGTCCAAGTTGCAAGTTTGATCACCCAATGGGAGTCTTTACCTATAACATATCTGCATCACCTTCAGCTGATGCCCCAGGGCGGCGAATGTTAGGTTCTTCATCAGGAACTTCTGCATTAAATTTATCATCAGAAGGACTTGTTGAGTCAGGCTCAGCAAATCCAAGGAGGCTTTCATTATCAGAGACTAGACAGATTCCTTCTGGTGATGATAACATTGATGAAGAGGGATAATGATGTCTCTTGGAAATGGGTTACTTGCTTTTTACAATTTTTTTCAGGGGAGAAAAGGGTAATCTGTAAATTGATTTTCCCATGCTGAAGGTGTACAGACTACAGAGTTCATGTGAAGCTGATTCTATCAACGTGCTATTTAATGCCGTTGACAGATTCAGTTGTTCTGAATTTCATGCTGTCACATTGTATAAATTTTACAAATATTTGTCACATTTGGTGGAAACCAAATGTGAACATTTCTTCAGTCCTTAAGTCAGTCTATATATTTAATGTTTTCCCAATATGTAAAAATTGTTTTTCTGAAAATCTGTAATGATCAATATTTGGCTCCTGTGTCAATCTTTCTTTGTTGCAGGTTTGAAATTCAGTGCAAAGACTATTCTATATGCGGTCTACTGTGCATAATAGAAATCTTTTTCAACAGCAAACCAACAGTATGATCAATATCCTTTTATTTTTTTCACATTTTTTGTATATTTCTAGTGTGCATACACATATTTTTTTCACACTCTAATCAGAATAGAAGAGCATTCTAATGAAGTCTTATTTGTTGTATGGGTGCATATTTTCTTCAGTCAAAATAAAGGCAACTGTTCTAAAATTTTATCTGTACCTTTACTTTCCTATGATATATTTATTCTTTTTGCAATGATTGATTGTCCTAGATAGAAATCGTTTTGCAGAAGTTGAAGGGAAAGAGTCCAAACTGTGAACTTTGTGGGTGGCAGAGGCCCGCTAATTTATGCTGTTTTGCAGATGCCAAGCCTCAGCGCCAATGCGACTTCTGTTCAGGCTACAAAATACTTAACTTAATGTTTCAATTAATTTTGGTGGGTGGATGGTCCTTTCTGGCTTGGAGTCCGATTATCATCAGTTCACATGCAATGCAATNTAACTAAGGGCAGGGACTTTGGGGACTGACTAATATCCTATGGGCCTAGATATCATGTTGGAGACAGGGAAAGGGAAGATAAAATGCAGGATTACATGGTATCAGTTTCTGTCAGGTTTCTATTGTTTGCTATTGACATTTTCATGAAATGAAAGAATCCAAAATCCAAATCACTCTATGTTGGAAATGGAGTATTTTTATCTTTAAATATTAATTAGTATGTCTCAGTTCTGTACGTCCTTCTATAAATGGTTTAAATCACAATAGATGAGAAGACCTATTGTTGAATCATGCAAGGGCATTTATAGATGTTTGTATCAACATAGATAGCAATTGTAAGTGCAACAATAATCTGAAGCCAACTTAATGATTTGCAATTGTACAAGTGAAGAAAAGAGATGATGAAAATTCTTGAACTTGGCTAGCCCTAACTCTAGTCCAAAAGTTATTGAAGGCTTAAACCTTTATAGGCCCTACTTTGGCCATATATTGGGAGAGCTGCATGGTCAGGTAGGTTGCAATGGGAAATTCACGAGGTTAGGTGGATTTTTGTTCAGTTGATGATGATCCAATATGTAATCTTTGATAGATTATGATATCATCTTAATTTTAGGCTGGATATAACTCAACTTCAAAATTTAACTTTTGAGGTGAGGGTTGTATATGCTTTACCTTTGCCATATATATAGTCAATTTGGGATCTCAACGAAAATATTATCAATAGTATTTCAAGTGTGTAATTCCCCTTTCATGTCAAAATCAAATTGTGATATTTGATGTCATTGGTGTTGATTCCTGTGCTTAGCATCAATATGAATTATTTCATGTGTGTGATTCCCCTTTTATGTCTAAATCAAATTGTGATATTTGATGGCATTGGTGTTGCTTCCTGTGCTTAGCATATCATTCCCAAATGTGTCTGATGTTACTTCTTTCAACTGTGTGAAATGCATTAAAGTATTTTAACTAGATTTATGATTATTTGTTGATTGGAGAGAGAATATATGCAATTATTTATCACAGTATTGTCTTCACATGGATTTGATCTTTTTATCGAATTGGTGCATGCTAATAGAGGTTGTGTTCTATTTTCGTGCAGGGAGAGCCTCTTTGTGTCTTCTATTCACGGTATGGCATATGCAAATTTGGTCCAAGTTGCAAGTTTGATCACCCAATGGGAGTCTTTACCTATAACATATCTGCATCACCTTCAGCTGATGCCCCAGGGCGGCGAATGTTAGGTTCTTCATCAGGAACTTCTGCATTAAATTTATCATCAGAAGGACTTGTTGAGTCAGGCTCAGCAAATCCAAGGAGGCTTTCATTATCAGAGACTAGACAGATTCCTTCTGGTGATGATAACATTGATGAAGAGGGATAATGATGTCTCTTGGAAATGGGTTACTTGCTTTTTACAATTTTTTTCAGGGGAGAAAAGGGTAATCTGTAAATTGATTTTCCCATGCTGAAGGTGTACAGACTACAGAGTTCATGTGAAGCTGATTCTATCAACGTGCTATTTAATGCCGTTGACAGATTCAGTTGTTCTGAATTTCATGCTGTCACATTGTATAAATTTTACAAATATTTGTCACATTTGGTGGAAACCAAATGTGAACATTTCTTCAGTCCTTAAGTCAGTCTATATATTTAATGTTTTCCCAATATGTAAAAATTGTTTTTCTGAAAATCTGTAATGATCAATATTTGGCTCCTGTGTCAATCTTTCTTTGTTGCAGGTTTGAAATTCAGTGCAAAGACTATTCTATATGCGGTCTACTGTGCATAATAGAAATCTTTTTCAACAGCAAACCAACAGTATGATCAATATCCTTTTATTTTTTTCACATTTTTTGTATATTTCTAGTGTGCATACACATATTTTTTTCACACTCTAATCAGAATAGAAGAGCATTCTAATGAAGTCTTATTTGTTGTATGGGTGCATATTTTCTTCAGTCAAAATAAAGGCAACTGTTCTAAAATTTTATCTGTACCTTTACTTTCCTATGATATATTTATTCTTTTTACAATGATTGATTGTCCTAGATAGAAATCGTTTTGCAGAAGTTGAAGGGAAAGAGTCCAAACTGTGAACTTTGTGGGTGGCAGAGGCCCGCTAATTTATGCTGTTTTGCAGATGCCAAGCCTCAGCGCCAATGCGACTTCTGTTCAGGCTACAAAATACTTAACTTAATGTTTCAATTAATTTTGGTGGGTGGATGGTCCTTTCTGGCTTGGAGTCCGATTATCATCAGTTCACATGCAATGCAATAACTAAATCATGGTCGGGAGTTTATTAGAAGCATCATTTCAGTGGCTGTATATACATGTATTTGATGTGTTGCTCGCTGATTCTAGTATGTGTTATCAATATGCTTACACAGGTACTGCGTCCATTCTTTCTCTTTTTATTTACTGAAACAACGAAACGGTGTAATGATCATTATCACGAAATGCTTTTTTTTGCAGTCCTGTACTATACCCAAATCTGTAGAAGGGTGTTTCACTGCTGTAGTGTGCTACTTTTCTGAATCTGAAAAGAACAAAGAAGTGCTTTCACTATTTTTTAAAACTTCAGTTTTTCGGAAAATATGAAAATTAAAAAACTTCTTTAATCAACTTGTTTTAAAAGTGTATTTTGTTCTGCATTCCTGTTGTGATTTCGCTTTGAGCTAGAAGTTAATAGTTACCTTTCATATTTTTTGGTGGAATGTACGTGATTTTTGGCTTGTGATGAGTTTTCAAGCACACACCGTCAGTTTATATCTTGATATTTCTTGTTGGGTGATAGCATGTTTGGATCAGGTCTGTTTCAGTCAAAACCATGTCCATTTTGTAGTTGACGTGAAAACTAATAATATTAAAAGTTTCAGATTTACATGTCACGGTTGCACGTTTTTACCTGCTTGTGGACATGGAACCAAACAGGTTATTATGAGTCAATTTGCATTTTCAAGTTTCATTGGTTAATAATAGTCCATAAAAATATGCAAGGCTTCTATGGGATACATCCTTTTAGTAGTTGGTTGGGGAGTCATTTGGGCTAAAATCTGAACTGCTTAGATTTCTTTTTTCTTTTAACGGGAAAATTGATTCAGATTGGATTTTTCTTTTGTGGGAAAATATTATTAAAAGTTTAAACCGTTGATAACACTAAACAGATGCCACATATTAACTTCCTAAAGCAAAAGGATAAGCAAATACGATAGATTGCTTATTTGCTATAAGTAATGTTGTGATTGTCACTCTCTAAACCATTCTGTTTTGCATCTAATTTAGTGCGTGCACGAATTTAAAGCTGTGTATGTCCTAAGGAATAAATCAGTTACTCTTTCTTCCTTTTCTATATTTGGTGACATATGGATGCGGAAGCCCCTATTAATGAAATACACTCAAAGGTGGAAAAAAAATGGAAAGTTGACGCTCAAACAAAAACTTTACAAATACAAAAAAAAAAAAGTGTTCTGGAAATTTTTATTCATTATGAATACTTTATGCAAGTCAAAAAGTTTCTACTTTTCCTTAATGTATTGTGACTACTTTATGATTTTTTTTTGTCTGTTATATTTATCATATACAATAAAATCAAGCAAAGGCGCACATAATGCGTTTCTCATTAATATAAAGTAAAAAAATTTCAAACTGAGTAGTTGAGAGGTTTGTGAAATGTTGAAAATTCAAAGTCATGTGAAAGCGTATATACAGCAAAGGCCTTCTAGATAGAATTTATTCTTAGTTAAAAGATGTCCAAAATTTTGAGATTAAAATGATCATTTAAAGGTCTAATGTTATTTTTTTATCCATTCGCGAATGCATACTTTTATTAAGTAAAAAATTCTAATGGTGCATTTGATCCTCAAGTTTTTCAAAATTAAAGGATTTTGATCTATTATTAATATATAATATAATTACTAACTAGCTTTACATGTATATGAGTGATAATACTGTTAAGTACTTGTTCGCATAAAATATAACAATAAAAGTTAGTTTTAAATTCACTTATTCTAATAACCATGTTGTCGATTACTATTAATCTTAGATAATATATTATCAGTGTATAAACATTGTTTAATTTA